CACCATCCCAATTAGATTGCAGGTTCCATGGGAACAGAAGACTCCTTGTCCTCTTCAGGTCCCTGGCTCATAGGAGGCGCTCAGTAAATATTTGTTGGATGGATGGATGAATAAGTTTTCTGAGCGCCAAGTTTTCTAAGCTAGGGATACCATGTTTGATTTTTTGCTTATTATTTAATCATAATAATAGCTAACCTTTATTGAATGTTTAATGTATAACAGCTATTGTGTATTTACATTTACTACCTTGTTTAATTTTCATAACAAAACCCTCTGAGTAAGTACTAGTATTATCTTCATTTTGAAGATGAGGAAACTGAGATACACAGGGGCCAGAGGCCTTGCCCAAGCCCAGGTCCCACAGCTGCTAACAGCAAAGCCAGGAAACAAACCAGCTCTGCCTGGCTCCACAGCCTTAGTTCCCACGCATACTGTCATGGTCTGTGGGGGCTCAGCAGACCCCACCGCTGTGGCCACCCATCCCCCTCACCTTCATCACTGTGTTGTAGATGGAGATGAAGTTGGTGAACAGATCCAGGTACCTGGTGGTGAAGACGAGAGCGAAAAGGATCTGGCTCTTCCCGGAGATGCCTACGGCCAGACAGGGACAGGAGGCTATGAGAACCCCGGCCCTCAGGCCCACGCACACTGGACAAGCCCAGGAAAGGTTAGCCCAGAGGCTGAGCAGGGAAGTGTCCAGGCTCCCTTGCTCTCTGAGGGTCAGGAAACACCCCTTCCCACTGGGTCAGTTCAGTTCCTCCGAATTAGGCTGTAACCTGTCTCCAGGTCTCCAAATAAAGACAAGAACACCGAGTTCCGAGCACCTGCGCGTGCCTGCCTCGGTCCTTGCTATGGGGAGGGCATGGGGATGGTGTAAGTCAGGCTCGGTGGGGGTGGTGTTGAGGCTTCTCTTCGCTAACCCGCAGGTTCCACTGACGATCCCCAGAGCTCCATTATTTTGGAGAACAACTCACTGACTTGACAAAGTGTTGATTCACCAGGGAGACAGGAGCAGGCGAAGGAAAGTGCAGGGCTAGGGGAGCATTCTATTTTATTTTCCAAATTTTAAGAATTAAAAAGACTTTTATTCTAGTTATAAAAGTTATAACAATTGTTCACTCTTTGTAAAACAAAAAACAGGTAGTATACAAAGGCATAAATGAAAAAGCAGCAATCACCTGAATCCTAAAGCCTCAGTGTACATCCTTGCAGATCTTTGGTGGCACACGTAGACATGACTCAGCTGTGCACACATGTGACACATACAGACACACTGCATTGATAAAACTGAGGTCATACTTTCCATGCTATTTCCTCGCCTGCTTTGGCCTCTCTCTTAACCTTCTATTTTGAAATAATTTTAGATTTACAGGAGAGTTGTAAAGACAGTACAGACAGCACGCATATATCCTACAGCCAGTTCCCTCTCATGCCGACATCTTCATAATCACAGAGCATTTACCACAGCTAAGAAATTAACACTGGCACAGCGCTATTGACTGAACTCCAGACTTCCGATTTCACCAGTTTTCCCACTAATGCCCTTTTTCTGTTCCGGGATCCCATCCAGGAATCAATGCTGCGTTTAGCTGTCATGCTCCTTGGTCTCCTCTGGGCCACGTCTGATACAACATGGAGGCGGTTCCGGGGTGAAGGGAGCAGGTGCCCTGCCTCCCTCTTCTCCGGCCCTGTCAAGCCCACCCCAGTTGAGAAACTTAGCCAAAGCCCTCCGCCAGTGCTGCCTGTGCCTCTGCAGCCAAGGCCAGCTGTGCGCCCGCACCCAGCCCCTCAGGGCTCAGCGGGGCACTCCATCCACCCTAAACTGTGCTCTTCGCCTGGCTTCTGCCTCCTCTGGCGGCCCACGGCCTCCTCGCCACCTCACCCTCGGAGGCCGCCTCTCTTCCCCCTCTGTCCCTTTGCCTGCTCACCCCGCGCCGGGACATCCGGCTCTGGATGCTGTCTGAGCTCTGACCTGTGCGTCCCTGCTGTGACCAAACCCTCCGTCTCCCCTTCCTCCCCATCTCCTCCCCTTCATGAATGTCGGCCCCATCCCCTCCGGAACACTGGGAGCTGCCATCGAGCGTCTCCCCCCTCTGTCTCCCGCAGTATTTCTCAGCCCCACTGCCCCCTCTCTGATGCCCCTCACTCGGCCCAGCCACCCTACCCACGATGGATTGGTCTCCCCAGGTCCTTACTTGCAGCCCACCCTTCCCCAAGTCCCACCCGGCAACCAACAGGCTATTTTTAAAATAGCATTCTTTCTGCTTGACACCTTTCGTGGCTCTCAAATGCTCTCAGAATAAAGACCAAACCCTAATCATGGCTCATGAAGGCCTGCCTGGGCTGCCCCCCTGTCTGTCCCACCCCACATCTGATTGCTCTTCACTCCCTCCCTCCAGCTGTGGTGAGATCTTGGATTTTATTCTAAATGTAATGGGAAGACTGGGGAGCTGGGCACCAAGAAGTGACAGAATTCAGGGTTTGTTCCTTTGTGTGCCTGAACGGTGCCTTATCTAACTATTCCTCTAGTGCTGGACGTTTGGGGCGGGGGACAGTTATGGTGAGTGAAGGTGGGCACTACCGAGGCCCCCAACACTCTGCAGAGCACTGGGTCCATGTTGCCGACCTTCCCGCCAGCACGGCAAGCCTGAGCCTCACCCCGCTCACCTGTAAAATGGGTACCCTGGCACACACGGGCAGGACTCACGTGAGGACCAAATAGGATTCAGTGAGAACATGAGTGCCTCCTTGGTCTGGCACTCTCGGACCAGCGGCAGGGCGCTCGCTATGGGTGAAGGAGCCCCCCAGGCGGGTGGCGTCCAGGAGGCCGTACAGACCCGAGGGCAGCTCTGGGCTGTGCCTGCTGCTATGCCACCTCACTAAGCCCTCTCGGAGGTCTTGCCAGAGAGGCCCTCAGCCTCATTTTGGAGGGTCCACGAGGCAGCCGTGCTGGGGGGCTCTTGGCTGCCTCCCTCACACCTCCCCTCTCTCCATTTGCAGCCTGCCAGGCCCTTGGGCTTCACATGTCCCTCAGTGCTTTGAGAGCCCTGGCCATCTTGAGCACACTGGTTTTCACACTCCTTTGAAAGCAGTGAATAATTTCCACCAAATCAAGCTGTGCATGGAGACCGAAGACATAGAAGGCACCGTGAGCCAGTACCTGGTCAGAGTCCCAAAGGGATCCACTGAGCACCTAGGGGACCCACAGACAGGGTACAGCCCTCCCTCCCACTTAACAGATGGGGAAACCGAGGCCTAAGGTCCCACAGTCACAAGCAGAGCAAGAATGAAGCCCTGGTGTCGTGTCTCAGGGCTGGGTCATTGGGGGTCACACCAGGCTCTGCTCCTTGGGGCTGAAGAGACCGGCACCCCCCTCAGATCTCACCTAGGCCGGGGCAGGTTCCTCTCTGAATACAGGCCCCACCACCCAGCTGCCCTTTTCCTTGCCCCACAGCGCTCAGCATTCCAACAAACCATGTGGCTGCTGCCAGTGCTGCTTGTGAGCGGTCTCCCACTTCTAGGAACTCAGGCCCGGCAGGCCCCGCTCCCCGTGTTATATTCCAGCTCCTTGTACAGTGCCCAGCAGCAAGGCTTAGGGAACAGCGCCCCTTACTGGGCACGGCTGCTTACCCTGCCCAGGGCCTCCGAGGAAGTGCAAGGTCCAAGCTGGATTCTCCCTTCACTGAGCCCCTCTCAACGTTGCTGGCTCACTTCCCCCTGAGTGAGAACCTAAGGGGCCAGGAGTGCCTATCTCTCCAGAGCCCCCAGCCACATGGCCTCCAGGTCTAGACCCCTCTCTCCACAATGCCTCTTACATCAGCACCTTCCCCTCATGCCCACCAAGTCTCCTAAACTAGCAGCCTCCACACAGCATCCAGAGTGAGGTGCTTCAGGTCCCCTTCCCAGCCCCCTCCTCTGCTCCCAAACCTTCCATGGCTGCCCAGTCCCAATTTGCTAACCTGGCAGACAAGGCCCTTTCCCATTTCACCCCACCCTGCACCCCCCTGGACTCCTCTTCATTCTGGGCTACCCCCAAATTGGGCTGCTCACTCCCCAGGACATGCTCTGCCTCTGTGACTTCTGGGCTTTTCACTTCCAGTGCCCTCCACACAGCACACCCTTCCTGGAAGACACCCTGACCATCTCCAAGACCCAGCACAGAGCTGCTCTCTCCATGAAACATTCAGGGCTCTGCTCTCTGCCTCCTGGTCCCCCCAAGAAGCCCCTGCTCCTCTACCTATCCCTCGCCGCAGGGCCAAGCACAGGGTGGGAGCCTGCAGGACACCATAGGACAGAGACCGCTGCAGGAAGCATGAGTAACCTCGCAATGTACTGGGTCTGTTTGGCCACTGCCAGTCCGGCTCTGAAACTTCGCCAAACCGCCAGCAGAGCCCCCGGACTGCGGGGCACAGGGGGACTCCTCCCACCCTCCTCGGGCTTCAGCCCAGGGGCAGCTCCAGGCCCACCTGTGCTGGGCTGCGCCCCTCCTGCCACATCACAACCGCCTGTGCCACACTCATCCAATTTGGGAGGATGTCTGGGCCAAGACAGGGGAGAGTGGGGGGGGGGAGGAAAGAGAAGACGCTGAGAACTGGGGGCCCCTTCCCGTGTGCCTACCTCCTCCACCCCCTCCTCGGTTCCCACCTTGGGCCTGAGTGAGGGTGGAGAGAACAATGGGCCTGGAGCAGATGCTGCTTGAGCAAAAGGGGGCAACTGGCAGGAGGGAGGGGGTCACCCCTCCTTATCCCCCTCCTCCTCCGACGAACCTGGCAGTTCCGACGTGGAGAGGGAGAGGCACAAGCCCACCTTTCCTCTTTAGTCTCCAAGGGTCATCCTTCTTTGAACTGGTACAACTTTAAAGTTTCGTTAAAGCTGAACTGTGTAAACCAGCTTCCAGCGCCCCCAAGCCCAAGTCCCGACCCTGAGCAGACAGTAAGGAGGTCCTCCTCAAGCCTGCAGGCAGGGAGCACGAGGCTGGCTGAGGAGCCGAGGTNCAGCAATTTGAGTCAGGAGCAACAAGACAATACCTAGTAGGTAAAAATCTTAGGTGTGTGTTTTCTCATCAGTGACATGGCTGTAACACTAATGGTGCCCAGCTACGGTTATGAGGATTAGAGTACTGAGTGTTGGGGGTACTGTGAACCAGCACGAGGCTCACATCAGCTTCAGAGGTGAGGCACAAAACTTTAAATCTGGCCAAAGCTGGGAAATGTGGTTTACTTGTGTTTGGACAGCTTTAGAAGTGAACATTTCTCATCTGTAGGCTGTATTACCTTTGTATCAACTCCCTAAACTTGTGCAACATGGGTAGTGAAAATCATTTGTAAGAGCATACTCCAGTAATTGGACTGATACTCACTTGGGGTGTTTGCCTTATACACAGAGGGGTATCTTTTTAGAGTGGAATTGACTGTTCTTAGCATGAGTCTCGCACTGAGGCCTCAGAAAGCAATGGTTTATTTGACCCAGTCAGGAAGTAAATACCTAAGGTTTCGTGACCCAGTAGACATCATGAAGCACCGTAGTTGTGTAATTGGTCCAGGCATTTCATAACCTCAGAGAGACACTGATGAGGTCTTGTAGATAGGATGAACAGTGCTGCGCTGAAATTCACACTAAGCATTTTTCTGGCTTTAATTGTAATATTTGGTCTGTTGTAAGTCGCCCCAGAGAACATTTCAAATGTGTCCTTGTTAAGGTGTAGAGTTCCTCTGAGGGCCCTCAAATAGGCATCGGAAGACTTAACTTCTTTCCTTTCAGAACTAGAAGTGGAGATGAAATCAGATTTACTATAGTGATTAAAGGACTCCTTTATAACTTTGTATACAATCTTAGTATCTCTAATGCCCAGTTCACAGTCAGCATTCAGGTAAAAGCCAAGGGAAAAACTTAAAAGGTTAACTATAGACTCACAGACCCCCCCATTTTGATTACTGATGTGTAAGAATAGATAGGCTCTTTTAGATAGGCCATTAAACAGTGCTTGGCCTTAAGTCCTCTACCCACATTGCACGTCAGCACCCCCTCTTAATTCCCCTCTGAGATCTGTTGGCCACTTGGTCACTGATGACCTCCTTGAACAACAGCTGCCCCATAACTGCTATTCCCTGCTCTTTATGAGGGGCTGGAAGATTTTTTAAAATAACTGCTCCAATAGCTGCCGTCAGTTGTAATGCAATGCAAACCCCTCACCATGGTCTGTGGTGTCTTGCTTGGCCTCTGGTAGCTCCAGGTGAGACCACACTAAGTAGTCTTTCTGTCCTTTATTACAGGGAGCTGGTAAAGACCTTGGAGGTTATACATAAGCTTGTTCTCTCTTGAATGTTTATTTTCCTAAGCAAGTATGTCCGGTGTCATCTCAGCTGTTCTCCGTACATGGTGTTTGCACAATACGTAATGACACGTTTCCTGAAAACATGCCTTCCACCAGTTAGAGTGTAAGCCCCGTGAAGGACAGACTTGCTCACTTCCATATCCCCTCAAGTCCCGAATGGGTGATGCCAATGCCAGCAACCCTGCCCTCCTAGCACCTACCTTTGGTCACATACAAGTAGAAGAAGTCACAGTAGAAGATGGTTTGTACTACTCCAGACACCACAGCAATTTGGTCATAGAAATTCTCAGTCTGGTACCGCCTGATCCAGTTAGCCAGGTAGAGTGCACGGTACAGCCCAAGGAAAAACAGGTAGTGAGTAGTAATGGTCTCAGCCTCTCCAGTCTTGCTGATCATGAAGAGTTGAGGCAGGATGGCCACAGATTCCAGGTAGATAGAGAAAGTCCAGAGGATCTGAGCCAAAGAGAGAAGTGGCCAGAGGAGGTTGAGGAGGAAGGCCCCCGTTTCAAGAATTCATGTTCTTGAAATTGCTAATACTTAACCAATGTATCAATATATAGTACAAATTATTTTTAAGGGATCTAAGCAAAGGGCAATTTTTACAACATTCCGTGAACATTTCTACAGGATATGATTTTTACTTCTTGCTGAGCTTTGTATAAACGCCTTAATTGAAGCCATGGTTTCTCCAAACAGTCCGTGAACCCGGCAGACCCTCCTGTGATGACTGCTGCCATGCAGCTTGGGCCACACCCCAGACGTGCCATGTTGACAGTAGGCTGCCCCAGTCAGACCAGTTGGACGGATCTCAGGAGGTGCTGTGATACCTGCTCTGAACATGGCTGTTCAGATGGGCCCATTTTCCAGTGCAGCAGTGGGAATAGCTAATTGCTGGTTTCTTAACAGTATGAGTAATAGTTGACGATTGTAGTCGAGAGCAAGCCCAGGCATTACCAACGGTCTGGAGGGAAGGATGTTTACCTTTGAGAATTAGTGATCTGGGACCCTTCCCTTACCTCCAGAACAGTGAAGTTGTAGTTTTCAAGGAAGGAGAGGCCAATGACTGGGACCAGAAGAAACTCCAAGCGGAATGTGTCATTGTCACTGTCAAACGTTTTCCAAAATTTCCCATAGATCATGTATACTGTGACATAGGCGCAGAGGAGGAAAACCACCTAAAAGGGGAGACACAGAAATGGATGAAGTCATTTCCCAGCCTGTTTGCTGGGCTTTGGAGCCACCCTGAGTTGGGATCTACCAAACTGAAGGGCTTAACGCTCTGCCCTAAGGCAGAGGAGGCGAAAAGTGTGCGCAGGTCTCTTGGGTCGGTGGCACAACATCTGAAGATTATGGCCGTTTTGTTAGTGGCTCCATGGTTCTGACTGGGACAGAGTGCTTCCACCAAGACAGGCACACACGTGCCTCCTCACTGCAGAGCATCAGGCAGGAAAACGGCTTGGTCTCGGCATTTAGCAGTGGCATTCAGGGCTCATAAAACCTCAACTTCGTAGACCTGCATCAGTGGCTTGTGCGCCTTCCTCCATAAGGATTAATATCCCTTGAACCAGTTGGGTGTTCTTCCCTCAGAAAAGCTTTCTCTAATTACAGTAGCGGTCCTCCAGTGTATAATGATTTTATCATGGCCAGAGGTGCTCAAACTTGAATGTCAGAATCACATCGATTCTGATTTGGTGGGTCTGAGTGGACCTGAGGATTTGGGTTTCCAGCAAGGTCCTAACATGCTGCTGCTGCCATCTGGGACCACACTGGCCTGGAGAACTACCTGTACTCAGAACTAAGGTTACTTTGAAGTCTTTCTCCCCAGAATGGGCACATGCACTGTGTCACAGAGCCCCCTGTAAAGATATTCACAGCTGCCCACGGCATAGTTCATAAATGTGTACCAGTCTGTCTGCCCTATGGGAGGGGGTTCATATAAGAGGGTCCAGATCCTGTCTGCCTCTGGATCCTTGGCCCCTAACTTGGGGCCTCACACAAGAAAAATGCTGGAATGAGTGAACGAGTCAGTGAAGTTGTGATTACTTCTTCATTTTGCCAACGTGGAAACAGGCCTCTGAGGTTCCTAGACCTCATTCAGCCATGCCAAGAGCTGAATCTGCCAGCCCTTCCAGGACTGCCCTGGTCAGACCCTTGGGCAGAGACATGAATTAAGTAGGTGGTTGTGTGTTGAATTTAAGTGGTAACAGTGATTTCTGGACTTTAGACTGAAAGTTCACACCAATTTCAACACCCCACAGGTAACATCCTCCATTCCACCAATCCCAGGAACAAGAAGCCTGGAATCCCAGAGGATCTCAGATATGGCAGAGAAAGAGAACTTGCTTGGGTTAATATAAGTATCTTCTGGGTGCTAGGTACCTTATATACATTATTTCATGTAATCTTCACAATAGCCCAGCAAGATAGGTAGGATGCCTCTTTGTAGACTTTCTTCCTTAAAAACAAGACTGTTGGACAATGTGTTCAACTAAAAGCTACATTTCTCAGGCTCCTTTGCAGATAAGGATGGTCAGTGACATGCTGGCAGAATTCACTAAGGTAGAGGATGGGGGAAGCTCTTTAAAAGGGGCTTACTTAGCTGACAAGCACCCTATTGCTCTTTCTGCCTTTCCTCCTCCTTCCTGCCCAGAATGTGATGTGATGGCAGGAGCTCTAGCATCCCCTTTATGACCCTGAGGCAACCTTGAGGATAGTTATGACATTCTTGGCTAGTTATATAATTTGAAGGGCCTCTTGTTCAAAAAGAATATTGAAATGGCAACATTAAATCAAATGCTGGGGCCTTCTGAGAAATTGCAAAGATCATACACCCATGAGTCCTGGCCATGCTAAAGATGGCAGAGCAGAAACTTAAAAGAAGCTGCCATCCCAGCCCTGGACTGCTCACCTCCAGATTTCATGTTATGGGTGAGGTAAAGATAAACTCTTACCTTATTAAAATAACTCCTATTTTAAGTCACTGTTACCAGCCTCCAAGTGGTTACATCCCACTTTACTATGAAACCTGGGCTCCTTCCACTGAACAGCTGCCTTAAAGAGCTAGGATGGTTGATTACAAGCTCAGAAAATGCCTTGCCCCAACATGACCTAAGAGTTATGCCCAGGGCCTGGGTCATCAGAGCAGAACTGAGAGTGATCAGTTTCTGCCATAAAACAGGGCCATGCTTCAAAGCAATAGCTTCCCATCACAAAATTAAATCCAAACTGTTAACCTGCACCATCTACCCTCACCCAGCCCTCTGCTGGCATCTCCACCTCCAGTGGGAGGCCCTTGCCTGCTGCACTCCTGCCATGCTGGTCTTCTGTCTGTTCTTTGAATATACCAAGCTTGTTCCTAGCTTGGTGGCCTTTGCACCAGTTATTCCTTCTGCTTGGAATTTTCTCCCTAGTTCTTCACACAGCTGGTTCCTTGTGTCACTCAAGTCTCAGCTTAACTGTCACCTCTTCAGAGAGGCCCTTCCTGATCACTCTCCCTGAACAGCTCCCTGTTTTTAAAACTTTTCATAACTGAAGGAAATATCACCCTATTTTAATTATTTGCATAGCCTTATCCCAAGCCAGAGTTTTATTATCCACCATCCCAATTAGATTGCAGGTTCCATGGGAACAGAAGACTCCTTGTCCTCTTCAGGTCCCTGGCTCATAGGAGGCGCTCAGTAAATATTTGTTGGATGGATGGATGAATAAGTTTTCTGAGCGCCAAGTTTTCTAAGCTAGGGATACCATGTTTGATTTTTTGCTTATTATTTAATCATAATAATAGCTAACCTTTATTGAATGTTTAATGTATAACAGCTATTGTGTATTTACATTTACTACCTTGTTTAATTTTCATAACAAAACCCTCTGAGTAAGTACTAGTATTATCTTCATTTTGAAGATGAGGAAACTGAGATACACAGGGGCCAGAGGCCTTGCCCAAGCCCAGGTCCCACAGCTGCTAACAGCAAAGCCAGGAAACAAACCAGCTCTGCCTGGCTCCACAGCCTTAGTTCCCACGCATACTGTCATGGTCTGTGGGGGCTCAGCAGACCCCACCGCTGTGGCCACCCATCCCCCTCACCTTCATCACTGTGTTGTAGATGGAGATGAAGTTGGTGAACAGATCCAGGTACCTGGTGGTGAAGACGAGAGCGAAAAGGATCTGGCTCTTCCCGGAGATGCCTACGGCCAGACAGGGACAGGAGGCTATGAGAACCCCGGCCCTCAGGCCCACGCACACTGGACAAGCCCAGGAAAGGTTAGCCCAGAGGCTGAGCAGGGAAGTGTCCAGGCTCCCTTGCTCTCTGAGGGTCAGGAAACACCCCTTCCCACTGGGTCAGTTCAGTTCCTCCGAATTAGGCTGTAACCTGTCTCCAGGTCTCCAAATAAAGACAAGAACACCGAGTTCCGAGCACCTGCGCGTGCCTGCCTCGGTCCTTGCTATGGGGAGGGCATGGGGATGGTGTAAGTCAGGCTCGGTGGGGGTGGTGTTGAGGCTTCTCTTCGCTAACCCGCAGGTTCCACTGACGATCCCCAGAGCTCCATTATTTTGGAGAACAACTCACTGACTTGACAAAGTGTTGATTCACCAGGGAGACAGGAGCAGGCGAAGGAAAGTGCAGGGCTAGGGGAGCATTCTATTTTATTTTCCAAATTTTAAGAATTAAAAAGACTTTTATTCTAGTTATAAAAGTTATAACAATTGTTCACTCTTTGTAAAACAAAAAACAGGTAGTATACAAAGGCATAAATGAAAAAGCAGCAATCACCTGAATCCTAAAGCCTCAGTGTACATCCTTGCAGATCTTTGGTGGCACACGTAGACATGACTCAGCTGTGCACACATGTGACACATACAGACACACTGCATTGATAAAACTGAGGTCATACTTTCCATGCTATTTCCTCGCCTGCTTTGGCCTCTCTCTTAACCTTCTATTTTGAAATAATTTTAGATTTACAGGAGAGTTGTAAAGACAGTACAGACAGCACGCATATATCCTACAGCCAGTTCCCTCTCATGCCGACATCTTCATAATCACAGAGCATTTACCACAGCTAAGAAATTAACACTGGCACAGCGCTATTGACTGAACTCCAGACTTCCGATTTCACCAGTTTTCCCACTAATGCCCTTTTTCTGTTCCGGGATCCCATCCAGGAATCAATGCTGCGTTTAGCTGTCATGCTCCTTGGTCTCCTCTGGGCCACGTCTGATACAACATGGAGGCGGTTCCGGGGTGAAGGGAGCAGGTGCCCTGCCTCCCTCTTCTCCGGCCCTGTCAAGCCCACCCCAGTTGAGAAACTTAGCCAAAGCCCTCCGCCAGTGCTGCCTGTGCCTCTGCAGCCAAGGCCAGCTGTGCGCCCGCACCCAGCCCCTCAGGGCTCAGCGGGGCACTCCATCCACCCTAAACTGTGCTCTTCGCCTGGCTTCTGCCTCCTCTGGCGGCCCACGGCCTCCTCGCCACCTCACCCTCGGAGGCCGCCTCTCTTCCCCCTCTGTCCCTTTGCCTGCTCACCCCGCGCCGGGACATCCGGCTCTGGATGCTGTCTGAGCTCTGACCTGTGCGTCCCTGCTGTGACCAAACCCTCCGTCTCCCCTTCCTCCCCATCTCCTCCCCTTCATGAATGTCGGCCCCATCCCCTCCGGAACACTGGGAGCTGCCATCGAGCGTCTCCCCCCTCTGTCTCCCGCAGTATTTCTCAGCCCCACTGCCCCCTCTCTGATGCCCCTCACTCGGCCCAGCCACCCTACCCACGATGGATTGGTCTCCCCAGGTCCTTACTTGCAGCCCACCCTTCCCCAAGTCCCACCCGGCAACCAACAGGCTATTTTTAAAATAGCATTCTTTCTGCTTGACACCTTTCGTGGCTCTCAAATGCTCTCAGAATAAAGACCAAACCCTAATCATGGCTCATGAAGGCCTGCCTGGGCTGCCCCCCTGTCTGTCCCACCCCACATCTGATTGCTCTTCACTCCCTCCCTCCAGCTGTGGTGAGATCTTGGATTTTATTCTAAATGTAATGGGAAGACTGGGGAGCTGGGCACCAAGAAGTGACAGAATTCAGGGTTTGTTCCTTTGTGTGCCTGAACGGTGCCTTATCTAACTATTCCTCTAGTGCTGGACGTTTGGGGCGGGGGACAGTTATGGTGAGTGAAGGTGGGCACTACCGAGGCCCCCAACACTCTGCAGAGCACTGGGTCCATGTTGCCGACCTTCCCGCCAGCACGGCAAGCCTGAGCCTCACCCCGCTCACCTGTAAAATGGGTACCCTGGCACACACGGGCAGGACTCACGTGAGGACCAAATAGGATTCAGTGAGAACATGAGTGCCTCCTTGGTCTGGCACTCTCGGACCAGCGGCAGGGCGCTCGCTATGGGTGAAGGAGCCCCCCAGGCGGGTGGCGTCCAGGAGGCCGTACAGACCCGAGGGCAGCTCTGGGCTGTGCCTGCTGCTATGCCACCTCACTAAGCCCTCTCGGAGGTCTTGCCAGAGAGGCCCTCAGCCTCATTTTGGAGGGTCCACGAGGCAGCCGTGCTGGGGGGCTCTTGGCTGCCTCCCTCACACCTCCCCTCTCTCCATTTGCAGCCTGCCAGGCCCTTGGGCTTCACATGTCCCTCAGTGCTTTGAGAGCCCTGGCCATCTTGAGCACACTGGTTTTCACACTCCTTTGAAAGCAGTGAATAATTTCCACCAAATCAAGCTGTGCATGGAGACCGAAGACATAGAAGGCACCGTGAGCCAGTACCTGGTCAGAGTCCCAAAGGGATCCACTGAGCACCTAGGGGACCCACAGACAGGGTACAGCCCTCCCTCCCACTTAACAGATGGGGAAACCGAGGCCTAAGGTCCCACAGTCACAAGCAGAGCAAGAATGAAGCCCTGGTGTCGTGTCTCAGGGCTGGGTCATTGGGGGTCACACCAGGCTCTGCTCCTTGGGGCTGAAGAGACCGGCACCCCCCTCAGATCTCACCTAGGCCGGGGCAGGTTCCTCTCTGAATACAGGCCCCACCACCCAGCTGCCCTTTTCCTTGCCCCACAGCGCTCAGCATTCCAACAAACCATGTGGCTGCTGCCAGTGCTGCTTGTGAGCGGTCTCCCACTTCTAGGAACTCAGGCCCGGCAGGCCCCGCTCCCCGTGTTATATTCCAGCTCCTTGTACAGTGCCCAGCAGCAAGGCTTAGGGAACAGCGCCCCTTACTGGGCACGGCTGCTTACCCTGCCCAGGGCCTCCGAGGAAGTGCAAGGTCCAAGCTGGATTCTCCCTTCACTGAGCCCCTCTCAACGTTGCTGGCTCACTTCCCCCTGAGTGAGAACCTAAGGGGCCAGGAGTGCCTATCTCTCCAGAGCCCCCAGCCACATGGCCTCCAGGTCTAGACCCCTCTCTCCACAATGCCTCTTACATCAGCACCTTCCCCTCATGCCCACCAAGTCTCCTAAACTAGCAGCCTCCACACAGCATCCAGAGTGAGGTGCTTCAGGTCCCCTTCCCAGCCCCCTCCTCTGCTCCCAAACCTTCCATGGCTGCCCAGTCCCAATTTGCTAACCTGGCAGACAAGGCCCTTTCCCATTTCACCCCACCCTGCACCCCCCTGGACTCCTCTTCATTCTGGGCTACCCCCAAATTGGGCTGCTCACTCCCCAGGACATGCTCTGCCTCTGTGACTTCTGGGCTTTTCACTTCCAGTGCCCTCCACACAGCACACCCTTCCTGGAAGACACCCTGACCATCTCCAAGACCCAGCACAGAGCTGCTCTCTCCATGAAACATTCAGGGCTCTGCTCTCTGCCTCCTGGTCCCCCCAAGAAGCCCCTGCTCCTCTACCTATCCCTCGCCGCAGGGCCAAGCACAGGGTGGGAGCCTGCAGGACACCATAGGACAGAGACCGCTGCAGGAAGCATGAGTAACCTCGCAATGTACTGGGTCTGTTTGGCCACTGCCAGTCCGGCTCTGAAACTTCGCCAAACCGCCAGCAGAGCCCCCGGACTGCGGGGCACAGGGGGACTCCTCCCACCCTCCTCGGGCTTCAGCCCAGGGGCAGCTCCAGGCCCACCTGTGCTGGGCTGCGCCCCTCCTGCCACATCACAACCGCCTGTGCCACACTCATCCAATTTGGGAGGATGTCTGGGCCAAGACAGGGGAGAGTGGGGGGGGGGAGGAAAGAGAAGACGCTGAGAACTGGGGGCCCCTTCCCGTGTGCCTACCTCCTCCACCCCCTCCTCGGTTCCCACCTTGGGCCTGAGTGAGGGTGGAGAGAACAATGGGCCTGGAGCAGATGCTGCTTGAGCAAAAGGGGGCAACTGGCAGGAGGGAGGGGGTCACCCCTCCTTATCCCCCTCCTCCTCCGACGAACCTGGCAGTTCCGACGTGGAGAGGGAGAGGCACAAGCCCACCTTTCCTCTTTAGTCTCCAAGGGTCATCCTTCTTTGAACTGGTACAACTTTAAAGTTTCGTTAAAGCTGAACTGTGTAAACCAGCTTCCAGCGCCCCCAAGCCCAAGTCCCGACCCTGAGCAGACAGTAAGGAGGTCCTCCTCAAGCCTGCAGGCAGGGAGCACGAGGCTGGCTGAGGAGCCGAGGTGGCCCAGGCGCCCCCGGTCCCGAGGCCCACCCTCCCGCCCGGGGCGCCCCTCACCCGTGCAACACTTGGATCTCCAGATCTTTCCCAGGAGCAAGATCATGGCCAGGAGGTGGCTCAGGTCGCCGAGGATACGGAACACGTTCATGGTCCAGCCGCCGGCGAGCACCCGCGCAGCCAACTCTGGGAAACTTTCAGGCGCGCCAGGCGGCTGCCACATCCCCGGCCGCAGCCCCTGGGTCCCGCGCGCCCCTGCCCGCGCCTCCGAGCCCCGCGCTTCCTGCCCAGGCGCCGCCGCCCCGCCAGCGCACTCCCGGCCGGGCGGTGACGTGGCCAGGCCCGCCGCCGCGCGAGGGCAGCCAGGAAGCGCAGCCGCCCGAGACCCCGCCTCCCGGCCCATCCCAGCGCCCCGGGGCCCTGGGCGGGGCCGCTGCCCACCGCTGCCCACCGCTGCCCACCGCTGCCCACCGCCCAGGCCGCTGGGGCCGGCGAGGCCAGGCCAGGCGGGCGCCGCGTCCCGCCCTGAGGCCCCAGAAGGGCCCGCGGGGAGGCCAGGCGTCTGCTTCCCTCCTCAGAACCCGCTGTCCTCCTGCAAGTGACCCTGGGAAAGCCTCTGGGCCGCTCTCTGCCTCCGCCCCTCATCTGCGCATAGGGTCGCAGACATAGGTGTCCCGTGAGGTGGGTCCTGCGTGCTCGTGCTTGGCCTGAGCCTAGCAGTGGGGAAGCACCCCATGGTGACCCCTGCATCTGTTGTCGTCATCCTAAGGTGCGAACTCCTTCCTCCTTGGGTCGGAAGCTTGATTCCCTGCCCTCTCACCTGGTAACTTGGAGAGCCACCTTGTCCTGACCTCACCTGTTAGAGGGGGACGATGGTAAGCAACGACTTGCAGGCTACCCTTGCCCAAGCCTGGGTGTCATGGGCCATTCTCTCTTTTGGCGTCAGTTGGTGGATCTGGTCAAGAGGTCAAGTCTGGCAGGGAGACGACCCAGGGCCCTCACTAGTGTCTCCTTCTTCCTGTATGACAAGATGTTGAACAGTTACACTGGCGAGAGCACACTCCAGAAGGCTGTGGGGTGTTGGCCAGCAAGCTGGGAGGCAGGGCTGTGAAGGGTGAAGGACCACCGGTGGGGCAGGCGTTCTCCCTCTGCTGTGTGGCTTCAGCAGTTCAACCACCCTCTCTGGGCCTTGGTTTCTGCATCTGTAAGAGTGGCAAGTATCACCTCTGTAGCCCCTTCTTCCACTCAGGCCAGGCCCTTCATCCTGCCTGTCGTGTAGGGCCCCCACCTGCTGCCATAGGCAGAGAAGCTTCGTCATGATGAAATCTGTCATTCCCTTACTGTCATCCTTCCATGCTCACCTTGGCCACACCTCTTCCCTTGCCCCAGGACCACTGTGACTCCCAGGGCAAGGCAGTCCTTTGAGACTCAAAATGTGGTCAAAGGACCAGGAGCCTCAGTATTGCCTGCTGGCAAAGCAGAACCTCAGGCCCCAAGCCAGACCTACAGAATCTGGTTAAACAAAATCTCCTGGTTATTTGTGTGCATGTGAAAGTTTGAGAAGCATTGATCTAAACAACATTACGAGGGAGGTACTGTTATTATTCTCTTTTTACACTGGGGCAATTAAGACAGAGAGGTTAAGCACTTTGCTTAAAGTCACACAGACACAGAAAGTAGAGCCTGGATTCCAACACAGTTTGACTTAATTCATTGAATTAATTCATTATTTCACACTGTGGGCCGTCATGGGAGATGGGTGAGCAGGGGTGGACAGTGGGGACTCCTGCCCTGGCAGGGAGGTTGTGATGACAATAGCCATCAAGTATTGAGCACCGATTAAGTGCCAGACATGGGGGAGGCGCGTTAGTCAGGTTCTCTCCATTAAGCCTCAACAGATGTCTCAGAGTCAGGCTTTAAATCCTCACTTTGCAGGTGAGGGGATGCTCCACGCTCCTTGGGGAGGAGGAGCCAGGCACTCATCCCGCTGCTGACAAGTTCTGAACGGGCCTCTCTATTCCCTGTCCACACCCCCACCCCCCACCCCAGTCCCTGTCTCTCCTCCAGCAGTTGCACAGAGAAGGCGGTGGCTATTTAAATCCTTCAGGTGAGGCTTTGGTTCTCTCTGCCCAACCAGCTGGCATCTCCTTCTCAGCACCCACCTCCTCCTGAAGCCAGGGAAAAGCACGTGCATTTGCCATTTGGTGAAACATCTGTCCTCCAGAGAAGCAGCCCCAACTGCCAGCAGGGGCTGGAACAAGCTAGAATCTTCCTCTTTCCTCTGTTTCTCCAGGGGAACCAGCCAAGTTTAGGGGAGGTATGAGGAGCACCCACTGTGGTGGTGAAGGGGCAAGAATCCGGGCTGCAAGGCCCCAGGGCCAGAAGCGCGTCCTGGGCATGCCGCAGGAGCCAGGAGGATTGCTGACTGGTTACGTGGCCCCCCTGGCATCCAGTCTTCCTAACTTCCCTGTGCCACTGATACTCCCTTTCTCAGCTTCAGGGAGCTCCTCACCCCCATTTTAGAGATGAGGAAACTGAAGCTCAAACTTGTCTCTTGCTCCCCCTGGTCACACAGACCTTTTTTTCCCCAAAGTTCTACCACTCCATCCTTAGTAATCAGCCCTGGCTTTTTTCACACAGGTGGAACATATTTTGGAGCTCCCTGTGAAGAAGAGGGAAAATCCCCTACTCATTTAAAACCCTTGACTAGCCCATGCCAGCCCTCGGGCCCCCTGCACCGTCAGACACTCCCTGTTTCTGATGCTGGGGGTTCCAGGTAAGTCCTGCAGCCCTCCCAGCCTCATTTCCTAACACTCACCCAGAAGGCATCTGCTGCAGAAAGGCAAACTGAAGGAAAGCAATGGCATGTTCAAAGATCTATGAGAAGAGAATGGGGAAGTTGTTCAATCATAGAAAAAAATGTACTAATAATCTTTTTTCCTTCCTAGTCCTAGCCTTTGTTATAGTTCACCAAAGTACTGAATATCCCTGTGGATAAAATGAGAGTTCCTGGGGCCAGGATTCTCACCTGGCCCTGGTTGGCTAGCTCACTGCACACCTGTGGGCAGTACATGGCTGTTGACTTTATATAAAGAGCTCTGCCCAGTGCTCTGGGCGACACGGTGGCAGGGCTGCAAGGCTGCAGGAGAGCAGAGGCTGGAGTGAGTGGTGGTGGCCCCAAGGACAGAGGCCCAGAGGACGGCTGTGCAGGATGACTGTGCAGAGAGGCCCAAAGGACAGCTGTGAGGACAGAGGGGCCCAGGGGCAGAGACCGGCTTGCTGCCTGCAGACTCACTCTGAGTGAATGGGATTCTAGTGACTGACCTGCCACCTGGAAATAAAGTTGGGTATAACCCTTTCACCCCAAGAACGTTTTGCTGTCAATTTCTTTGGTCACATTGAATCCATAGCGAACTTGCCTGGGGCTGAAACCCGTTGACAAGACACCCTCCAACTGCCTCAAATTCTCTGTGGAAGGAAAGTGTGGATGTAAAGTGAGAATCACCGTACTGAGGATGCTCCACCACTTAATCAGCCTCCTTTGGCTGGGGCAGTACGAGAACTACGGCCCGGTTCTGGGACTCCCTTCAGGTTCCAAAGGCTCATTGGCTTCTTCTGAGAGAGGGGGCGCTCCCCCGTGTAAGGAGTGAACTCCTCACAGAGAGCCCCAAGTCCTATTCGGGAGGCGCAGACAAGTCCATTCTGTAAGCGGGTCTGAGTGGGCTGAGGGCAGCCTTTCTCTTCCTGTGGTTCCTCCCCCAGGTGCTCTCAAAGCTCTTCCTGCTCAATATCTTTTGAGAATAATGCAGCGAGCCAGGCAGGCCCCATTTTTACAGAACAGGAAACCAAGGCTCCAAAACCTCTCTTTTTTCAGTTCTAAGCACATTTATTGAAGAACAGCTGTGTGCCTGGCACCTTACCGGTTGAAGGTAGACTCATCTTTGAGGTGTCTTTGGGACTCTGTGCACAGATTTGGCACAGAAGGGAGATTAATTACCCTGGGGTGGGGAGAGTGGAGGGCAGCTGCAGTTAGGAAGGCTTCAGAGGATGCCCTAGTGGGTTTTGAAGGATGAGTAGGAGGTTGGCTTAAGGACAAAACCTGGCGGAAGAGAGCAGAGTCCTGAGTAGAGGGAACTACATGTATAAAGGTGCAGAGAGAATGACATGACCCACTGTCCCAGCACATTTTATTTGTACTGCTCTTTTAAAAAGGCCAACGAAGGGGAAAGAAGAAAAGGATGAACGTCGAGATTAGACAGACTTCTGCTCAAGTCTCAAGCTTCACCAAGTCTAGGCAATTTATCTCTCTGAGCCGTAGTGTTTTCATCGATAACCTGGGTATAAGCAAGTACTGACTTTATAAGGTAGTTAGCTAGGTACTAAGGCGCTTTGCAGGGGGTAAACCAGGCCCTTGCTCCCCGGTACAGGACACCGAGGCCCAAAGAAGGCCGGGCATACCAGAGCCAGAAGAAACCACGGAAAATCCTTGTTCTCAGAAGGCGATCACTCCCTCGCCGGTTTCTTCCGGGAGAAGTACAAACAAGACGATTAAAAATAACCTCTCGGCCTGAGGATGCCTTCTGGGGCTCTGGAAGTGTTCCGTCGCTTCCTCTGGGTGGTGGTTACCCGGGTTTTATACATATGTAAAATTCATCGAGCTGTACTCTTAAGATGTAAGTATTACTGTTTGTAAGTTACACCTCAGTTAAAAAGAAAAACATCACAACCCTGGCGGCAACGCCTCCTCCCCTCGCCGCCGGCGACAGGTGTCGGAGACTCCAAACGCCACTCCGCGCGCGGCGCAGGCCCAGCGCCCAGCTCCCGGAGTCGTGCGCCACGCGCCTCGGCCCGGGCGGGGTTCCCACGGCAACCGCAAGCCGCTCGCCGCGTCTCCCGAGTGACGGGGCGCCAGCGAAGACCCGGAGTGCGGATTTCCGAACCGGAGCCACGCAGCGAGGCTGGAGAGAGACCGCCGCTGGCCAAGAGCGGAGGGGAGCGATTGGGTGCACTTCGTCCTTGGACCGGCATTCCGAGGGCATCTGGCGGGCACCGCTCCCTAGCCCTGACTGTGGTCACAAACTGCTGCTTGAACAGACTCCTGGGGATTCACTCTCAGCTTTCCAGGGGGGAGACGGAGGGCTTGGTTGCTCCCCAATATCACAGGGCAAGTCAGGGGCAAGGCAAGCCCCGCACCCCAGTGGCCCGCTTTCCTGCTTCTGCAGCACAGCTGAGTGGAAGGCACGGAGGACGAACCCCATTGGGGTCTGGTTCCAGCTCAGCTAGTAACTTGCCCTGCGGTCTTCAAGTCCCCTCTCCCGTCTGGGTCTCAGAGATGCCGACAATAGCTCAGAGTAGCTGTTACCAAATATGCAAAATAACGAGTGTGAAAGTGGTTTATAATCTGTAAAGTGCTTTATACATGTCAAGGGCCATTACCATTGCAATTCTATTGCCTTCCTGTCCTCATCGTTACGGTGGCCCCAACTGCAGCCTTGGTGACAAGGAGCTGCACAGTGAACCTGGGGCTCAGAACTCTCCATGCCCAGAGGTTTCCCATCTGCAGGTGAGTTTCCTCCCTGCCATTTCCCCTTTCCCAAGGAAGGGGCCCAGGGCAGCTCTTGGACACCAGGGATCCTTTGTCCCCAGACCACCCACTTAGGGGGGTTCACAGAGATATCACCTTCCACCCACCCCTGAACACCTCTTCCTAATCTTCCTCTCTGTGGTTGAATTGTAGAGGTTCCCCACAAAGAGAGGGTGTCTGCAGGGCCCAGGACATGGCCCCTGCACAGGGCCCCATGGTTAATACCACTTAATGCCCTTTGAATGCCACATGTCGGGCATGTGTTTGATGTGTTTGTACAGGTGTGTGTATGTGTGTTGTGAGGCTCTGTATACACTAGGATGTGTGTGTATGTACATGTGCTGGGCGTGCATACATTGGTGTGTGTGTGTTCTTGGGATTCACATTTGAGTATGTGTATGTAAATATGTGTATTTCTGGCTGCGTGGTATATGCTTGCAGGTATATGTTGTGTATTTGTGGCATATGTATTTACACATGCATCTATTTGTGTCTTTGCTGGTGTATATGCATATCTAGGTGGGCATTTGCTGGTTTGTACTTGTGGTGTGCACACATGGATGTGGAAGACCATGAGGTCTGTGTGCATGTGGGGGAGCGTGCTAGGGTCTTGGTCGCTGGCACTCTTTTCTCCCCCGTCGGCCCTCACCTGAAGGCTGTGGCCAAGGCTTGCTTTTGCCCCCTCTGCAGACTTGTGGCTGCCCAGGTCACTGGCTCGCCTGGGTCTTTGCCCAGTGTGGGCTGGGGGGAAAGGGTGGGTGGGTGAACCTGGGGCTCATGTGCCATCCTCTCCCCGCCTGGCCTCCTCCCCTCCCCACAGCAGGAGCAGCAGCGGGAAAGGTTGGCGGAGGGGGGCTATTTTGGGAGCGTCTCCTTAGCAACAGCTGCCACGGCCGTCTGTGGCAGTTTTTCTATAGGTGCTAAAATATTCCACCCTGGTGACTACTGAGTGCTGGGTGGGGGGGGCGAGGGTGGGAGCAGAGGGTGAGTCGGACCCTACAGTCCTCTATCCTCAGGGCATAGCCTGCTGGGATGGGTCCTGGCCCTCTGGACCCCCAGTGACCCTTTCCCCATCTCTGGTCCTCACCCTTCAGGGCTGCTGGGACTTCAGAGTTCTGAGGCAGGCCAGCTGTGTCCTGGGTCTAATTTTTAATCTAAGCAGCTGGACAATCTAAGCAGCTTGTCCCATCTGTAGAAGGAGCTGGCCAGACTTTAAGGAACTCTCTAGGCCCAAAACCCCTGGACTCCATGACTGTGGCAATTTGAAGTGTCCCTTTTCCTGCCCTCTCCAGCTGTCTACCTGCCTGGCCCAAGTCCCCTCCCCTCCAGACCTCCCAGCCCCCTGCACAGGCTCTCAGGGCCCTCAGAGAAGTCTGACTGGGCTCCCAGACTGAGCCGGTAGTGAGTCCTCAGCTGGCCTGGAATGACCTTTCCCTAGAAACCAGGAGCTGGTTAAATCCTGGCTCAGACACCGGCTTACTCCCTGGCAAGGCACGTCCTCCCTCCACATCGTTTTAGTTTCATCACCTGTGAACTAGGGACAGTCACAGAAGCTACCTCGTAGAGATATGAGGCTCAAATAGGAGAATGGAGAGTAGGCAGGAAGCTCTGACAAAATGTGTAGATGGAGGAAGGCTTTATCATCATCCCCATCGAACTTCAGAGCAAGTTTCCCCTTCCAGAGAGTTGCCCCCGGCCATCCAGGTCACACCTCTTGTGCCTCATTCCCAATGGCAACAAGTGCCTGGTAGAGTTCCTCTAAGGATCAAGGGACCCCGGCCTGTGAGGGCCTAGAGTGGCGCTGGGCTAACAGTATGCCCCCAGCGATGCTGGTTCTCCTCACTCCATCCGGGGCGCTTTGGGGTTAGATGATGACAGTCTACTTGCCCTTTGGGCGCCCAGTCCAGACTGTCACATTACAGATGAGGCCTCTGAGGTCCAAAGGGGACAAGCAACTTGCCCAGGGCCACCCAAGTTCTGACATGGAAGCCTCCCCTGCACCCACCAGCCTCTGCCTACCTGTCTTGTGTCCCTGCCCCTCCCCTCCACCCTGTCCACATAGGGCTAGCAGCTATTCAAACAAGGGAGGGACAATGGCGAATTCTTCCTTTAGTCTTTATTCCTCCTCAGAACAGTGGAGGGGCATTATCCTATGATAGGATATCCTACATAAGAGGAAACAGGCCCGGAGAGGAGAGGTGAGCTGTGCAGAGTCACACAAGGGTTGATGGTGGAGAAGGGACTCTTTCCTGGGGTCCCCAGACCTCTCCTTGCCTGGAGCTGCCCTTTCTGCCTCTCTCTGCCTTCTCCCAGCCCACCCTGGGCCTCCACAGGACCCTCCTTACAGGAGATGAGTGTTGTGCTGCAGCCCCAGGCCTAGCAAGGTGACTGTGACCAGCAGTTTCTTCTCAACCCCTATGACATCACAACCACCAGGCTTCCCCTCTCCCACATGTCATTGTCCCCAAGCCCCTTAAACTTGTGTCCAGTGTCCTAGCATCAGGTCTGATGTCACAGGGACAGATGCTCTGGGTCTACACACACCCCCATCTCCATCTCCCCTTCCTTCCTGCCCTTCCTCCCTTCCCCTGCACCTCGCACTCCCAGGGCAGCCACCAGGCCAGACCTCTGGTTTGGTGAAGAGACCACAGGTCATTTGCCTCATCCTCAGCCTCCCATTTCCAATATCCAGGGAAAGGTATGCTAGGTACCAGGCACATATCTGCCACTGACCCAGCATTCAGATGGCTGGAAGTCCCCCATCCATTCACATGCCAAAGACTCGTGTCAAGGAACTTCAGCCCCGGGTGCCTGCTCACGAGGGCTCAGCAGAGTAATGAGGAAGTGGCCATGGAATGGGGCATGTGCTGTGGGGATCTGCACACTGCTGAAGGAGGACGGGGAAGGCATGGTTGCATTTATTGAGCACCTACTGTGAGCTTTGCCCCTGTGAGGGAGAAGGATGGTTAGAGACCCTATCTTACAGGCAGGTTAAATAAAACACTTGCTCAAGATCGGGTAGCTCCTAAGTGCTTTTGAGCCAAGGGTAACCTGACTTCCAAGCCTGCAAGAAGCCAAACTAGTACCCAGTGCAGGGGCTGGCACGTGGTGTGCATGAGTGCTGGATGAATGAATGAATGGGTGATGAATGACTTCTGCTGGGGACATCAGGAGGCCTTCAGGGTAGGTGGTGTGGAGGCCAGACTTGGAGAGCAGCAGGAATTCTCTGGGCAGAGAAGGAGGAAGGGCACTTCAGGCAGAGGAACAGCACATGCAAAGGCAGAGAGGAGTGGAAGCATCTGGTGTTCCAGAATCTGTAGGAATCCGGGTGTATGTGTGGGTATATGGGGTGCAGGATAAGGTGGGGGCCTGATTGTAAGTCACGCAGAGGAGTCAGGACTAGATGTTCTCAGGTGGGAAGGAGCCCATGGGGATGGGACAGTCACACTTATGGTGGTTCGTGTGCTATTGCCTGGGCTGGACACATTCTCAGGTATCAGCTTGGAGGAGAAGTAGAAGGAGATTTCATATTCAGTGAGTCCTCAGTCCCGCTCAGGTGCCTCAGTTTCTGCCTGTCTTAACTGGGAGAAGTCAGAGATGGCCAGGTTCCCAGGGAAGTTCTTCTGGCTGTCTACCTGTCCATGTTCCCTCATCCTACCACCCTGGAGGAGGAGTGCCTTCCCTCCTGCGCCTTTGGAGGGTGGGCATGAGGTGGCAGGATGGCCACAGGAGTGGCCGGCTCCCTAGGGGCTGCGGGATGCTGGGTCTGCTCCGCACAGTCCGGAGTGTGGAGCCCAGTCCCGGAGGGCACTCAGAGCGGGAAAGAGAAGAGCCCGCATCTTCACTTGCAAAGACTGTTTGGTGTAATGGTGACGTAGAGACCACGAGATTGGGGTTTGGTCGAGCCATGCCACCTCTGGGTGACCTTGGTCAAGCTGTGACGTTCTCTGGTACTTAGTCTTCCAGGCTGTAAAATGGAACGGTGCTGTCTAGGTGATTGTGAGGGTCCTTCTAACAGGGCCCCTCTCTCGCTAAGAGCGGAGTGCGTAGGGTCCTTAACTGCTGGTACTTCAGGAGAGGAGGGGGACGGCCGGGCTGGGGGAAGCGGCCCGACGCCCCTGCGTCCAGGGCCGACCGTCTCCAGCCTACCCCAGTCCAGGCTCGGAGGACCCCTGCAGCCCTACCCCTGGGGGCCTGGAAAACCCGGGAGCGAATTCTCGGAATGGGTTCTGGGAGGAGCGCTCCTGGAGGGCGGAGGAAAACCCGGGCAGGATCTGGGGCAGGAGCGGGGCCATGCAGCCCCTCGCCTCTGCCTGTGCCCCGCGCGGCGGGCGGATGGGAGGGGTGGGATGCCAGGCTAGGCAGAGAGGAAGGGGCAGAGCCAGGACCCGCGGGCCGCCTGGAGCTCCGGCGCCCCGAGGGGGCGGGGGGCGGCCTCCGCAGTGGGGCGCGGGTCACGTGTGAGGAGGGGCGAAAGTCTCGCAAAGCGGGGCGGCGTGCCGCGAGTTGGGAGTTCTCGGCGCGCCGCGGGCGGCGGGAGCTCGGGCTCCCGGGCGAGCCGGGGACGCGGCAGGGGCGGGGGCCTGGGTCCGAGACAGCGGGGGCCGCACCGAGAGTGGGAGGCAGAGAGAGACGGAGAAGGACAGAGACCGGGAGGGAAACAGACAGAGACGCGCAGGGGCGAGAGCCAGGGCAGAGGCGGGAGGAGGCGGGGGAGAGCCCGGGGGGGGCGACGGAGACGCCGACAGAGACCCCGCAGGGAAGGTCAGGGGCCGAGGCGGCTGGAGGAGAGCGCAGCGGGGCAGGGAGCTGAGCGCAGGGCGGGGGACGGCGCGGGGGACAGCGAGGGCACAGCCGGGGGCGGCGGAGCGAGGGCCCCTGCGGCGGGGGCGCAGGCGCGGGCGGCCGAGCGCCATGGGCCCCGGGACCCCCGCGCTCTGACCCGGCCGGGGCCGACGATGCTGACACCGCGGCGGCGCCGAGGACGCGGCGCGGGGCAGCGCTGAAAGTTGGGCAGCCCACGGGGAGCTGCGCGGGACGGCGCGGAGGCTCGGAGGCCCGGAGACCCGACAGACAGACCCGCAGGCGGCCGGGGCGGGGGCGGGGCCGGCCCGCCGAGTTCGCGGGGAGGGGGCGCCCGGACTCCCCTCTCCCCGCCGGGACGCCGCCCGCCCGACTGCGCCGTGGGATGTAGCGCCCGCTGGCCGCTTCCCGGACGCTCGTCGGACCCTCCGCCCCGCGGTAAGCCGGGCCTGCGCCCACCGCTGGCGCTGTCCGTCCGTGTGTCCGGCCGCGCGCGCGTCTGTGTGTCCCGCCAGTGGGTCGGCACCTTTGGCCCCGTCCGTTCAGTACCTTACTCCGAACCCTGGTCTCGGCTGCCAGGCGCGGGTTAAGCGCGGACGGCGACTCCGCGGGAGCTGGCGAGCTCTGTAGGTCTGTCGGTTGAGAGCGTCGAGGTCTGGGTTGCTGCCTGGAAGAAGAGAGGTGGGTGGAAGAGGCCTTGACCTCCTGCCCCGCCACGACCTCTCCCTACCTCCTCCCATCGCAGTTGTTGGAGGAGATTTGAGGCAGATGACTTGTGGCAAAGGTTGGGGGTGGGGGTGTCCTTTCCATGTCTCTAACAGCAACCTGTTTGCAAATGGCCCTCTGATCAGAAAGAGAACAAAATCCCACCTCTTATGTTTTGAGCACCTACTTGGGCCAGGTGACCCCAGGGTGGATGGTCAGGAATCCAGTAAAGGAAGTATTTCATGGTTCACAGTGGCAGAGACCTGAGGCTTGGAGAGAGGCAAAGACTGCTTTCCCTCCCTACAGGAGAACCCCAAGGAAAGCAAGGCCCGAATGGGGTCCCCCATCAGGGATACTTCTCTGCAACACACTGAATGTCTCCCACCAGCACCCCACCACACTCCTGCCCCCAGCGCCCAGGCTCCAGGGTTGGGAGAGGATGCAGGGAGGCGGTGGGTGGAGTGTGGCGGAGGGACTTGGGGCAGGCAGCCTGGCATAGAGGGCAGGTGAAGGCCTCAAAAGCTGTAGGCTGGCAGCAGCAGGTTGAGGGGACAAGAGCTGAGGAAGGGACGCCTGAGGGCAGCACATGCAAGACCCAGAGAGGAGCCAGACGTGTGTGTGTGTGTGTGCGCCTGCCTGTATGCACGCACGTGCACGTGTATGTGTAAAATGTCTATTCCACTTCTCCCACACTTTCCAGTCCCGTGACCTCCAAAGCTTCAGGACTTTGGGGGGCTGCTGGCAGGAATTTGGGGGCCTAAGAGCTACCCTGTGGCCCTGGCTCAGCCTGGGATGAGAGAACAAAGCAGAAGAGGGTGGTGGGCTAGGGCTGGGCGGCCACGTGGAGCAGCAGAGGCTGCTGAACATTAAGCTGACCCATATCCACATTGGAGCCTGGAGGGCCAAGCCTAGAACATTCGACTGTTCCCCACTGAGAGGAGAGGCCCTTTCTGGACTTTTCTGCACTAGGCAGTGGGCCTCACATACCTTATGTTCAGACTCCTAGAAGTCAGCTCAGCTAGCTGTGGAACCAGCACCCTGGGCAAGTCACTTTCCTCCCTGACCCTCAACTTCCACATCTGTGAAGTGAGGACACCACTGCCCCACTGACCTCACAGGGGCTCTCTGGGCCCAGATGGGCTGAGGGCTTGGGGGTTGGGGGAAGTGCTGGGCAGATGGAAGGAAGAACTCATTTTACCTTTGGGAAGATGAACAGCTGATGGAAAGTGGGGAATATGGCCTGAGACAGAGGACTGGCTGAGAGGAGTGCCCAGGCATCAGAGGGGGGTCTGGGGCTTGAGAGCTGTTCCCCAGGAGCCTTTGGGTTGCCCTTGAAAAGAAAGCTCCTTTCCCAGAAAAAGCCTTTGGGGGCACTGGAAGCAGACAGAATTTGCCTTAAGCTTCTGTTGAGTGACCTTGGGCAGATGGCTTGACCTCTCTGGGCCTCAGTTTCTTCAACTGCAGAATGGGGATGATGGTACTGACTTCACAGGGTTGATGAATGATTTTCAGACTATGTCAGGTCTCTGAAAGCAGCTTGCACAAGCCTGGAGCACAGTAGGTTCTTAACAGACATTTGTGGAACCCGGAATGAAGTAGCTCTGGGAGATGCTGCGAAAAGCTTTCTTAGCTTGGGATAAGAAGGAAGGGAAGGAGGAACAGGGTAGGCTTACAGGGCGGGCTGGTTCTTAATGTGGATCTGGGGGAGGCGGGGGCGAGTGCTGAGGGGGTGTGAGGAGGAGGGGGCCCCTCTGCGGGGACCACTGAGTCACGAGGACATGTAAGCGACATGACAACCAGCAACACGGTAACCAGGAGACTAGCGGTGGTGGGAAACGGAGCTGGAGCCGTGTGCTGGGGGGGCAGGACTGGCAGCACTGGGGCTGGTGCGTCTGGGGAGCAGCCAGGCTGGTTTTTCAGAGTGAGGAGGGGAGGCGCCAGGACCAGGTGGGCTGGAGAGAAAGAGGAGGCGGGGTGCGAGGAGGAGAGGTGACTCCGGGGTCTGCTGGGCAGGGGGCCTTCTCCCTCACCTCCCCAGGCTCCTCACTCCTCTCCTCCACATCTCCACTTTTCATGCCTCTCCCCCTAGGATGCCAAATTTGGCTCACGCAATCTGTCGTCTCTCTTCTGAGATTGGCACCGGGACCAAAGCCGAGCGAGCGCATTACATCACCGCTGCTCCCCCTGCACGAGGAGAGGAGAGGGAGGGCCCGAGGGCCAGGGGGCAAGGGGCCAACCCTCAACTTTCCTGTCTTCCTGCTTACTCTTCTCACCTCAGGTCCAGGTGTGGGGGGTTTCGGGGAGCAGCCAGGGAGGATCTGGAGGCACAGCAAGGGCTCCAGGCTCGGGGAGATCCCTGGGCCAGGGCAGGAGGTCAGACCACGTTGCTGGCCCCTTGGCTAGAAGGGGCCTGGTAGGCAGGGAGCCTGGGGTCAGGACTCCAATGTGTCATTGACTTTGTGTGTGACCTTGGGTCGGTACCCCCACCCTCTGCCTGTGTGTAGACAGAGAAGAGTCAGCCACTCAAGATCTTGGAAAGTCTCCTGAAAGAAGATGCCCTCGAGTCCTGTTGCTCTCCTGCGTATAGACCGGCAGTCCTGAATTTTGAACTGCTCTCTCTGACCTTGAGCAGCTCTTCTCATTGCTTCCATTTCCTTGCCTGTAAAATGGAGACACAAGAACCGTCAAAGTCACCAGAAGTGAAAGAGGTACCAGACATGAAAGAGGGGGACAGTGCAAAAGGCAGGGTCTGGCTCTGAAACCACAGACACTCAGGGGCTCTGTGGCACCTGAATGCTGGGCTGCAGGCAGGGAGCAAGCCAACCCCAGCCCTGGCGGGGACATGGGACAGTGTCTGTATTCAGAGAGAAGGCTGGGAGCTTAAGGCACTGGCCTGATGCCCTCATTTTACAGAAGTGGAAATTGAAGCCCAAAGAGGGAAGTGGACCCACTCAAGGTCACAGTGATGGTTTCGGGGTGGAGAAAGCAGAGCTGGAGCCTGAACCCAGAGCTGCTGGTGCCCAGACCTGCCTGGGGAGAGACAGGCACACAGGCAGGCACATGTGGCAGGCCTGGGCAGGACCCAGGGGCTCTGGGCACCCACTTCTCACTCTGGCCCCCTCCCTTCTCTCTTCCTGCTCCCTGGCTCCCTTCATCCCCCCATCGCTGGGCATTAATCCCATCCATTCCTCTTGCCCTATTTGAAGATCTCCTTTTCAGACTCATTTTAAAGCCAGTTTCAGGCAGTCCCAGGCAGGGACAGATTGGATTTGGGGTTTAGCTAGAAGATCATGGCCCCTTCTAGAAGACTTCCAGAGCTGGAGGTGAAGAAAGATGGGGAGCTTCTGTGGATGTTATGTGAAATAGTGAGCTCCTCATTCCCAGAGTTATTCAAGCAGAACCAGATGAGTACCTGCCAGGGATCCTGACCTGGTGACTCCTCCTTTACGGATGAGGTTGAATGACATCCCCACCTCCAAAGTCCCAGGAGGCTTTGCTATTCCCCAGGAGGAGCTGGGAAGCAGCACCCATCATTTACCGACTTCCTAGCAAGGAAACTCACGTTGTTGCACTAGGCACTAGGCTGGGAGCTCTTGCAATGCCTTCTCGTTTAATCCTTCTAGCAACCCCACAGTATTGATTTGATGTCCCTGCGTTACAGATGGGGGAGCCATGGCTCAGAGAGTCTATGTGATTTGCCCAAGGTCACACAGCAGGGAAGAAGAGGAGCCTGGACTTGAGTCTGGGCCAGTCTGATTCTTGGGAGCTGTCCCTGGGACTTCCTTGGGAAAAGAGTGATAAACATCCTTCCCCTGGGCTGCAGTTTGGCAGGAGACAGTGTGTCGCCCCCACAGCATGACACCCCCTCAGGGATCCCCTGGGGGCTCCATTCTGAAGACAGACAGACATGCACCCGAGGGGAGAATTTTACACATGGAAAAACTAAGACTCCGAGACAAAAAATGACCTGCTCAAAAGGGCCCAGGGAGTTTGTTTTGGGCCATTCTCTGTCCCCTGCTCCAGTGAGTGAGGAAGGGGCTTTGGGCTGATGGTGGCATGGGGTCTGGGATGCCAGTGCAGACTGCTGGGTGGGTGGCAGAAGGCTGAGAGAGAGCTGCTCTAGGTGAGGGCTGTGGGTGAGTCAGCCTCAGGACCAGGGAGAGGGAGCAGGTAGAGAAACCAGCAGGAAAGAAGGGCCCACCTCTGTCCTGCCTGGTCCTGCCCACAGATGTCAGTGTCATATGGCCTATGAGGTCAGGGGACACTGTGGGTGGGACCTGCCTGGCAATAGGATCTTGCAGCCAGCAACCTTGCATGTGGTTCCCTGTGTGACCTTAGGTCAGTTTCTTACCCTCTCTGAGCTTGGTACAACATCGGTGAGACCAAGAATCTGGACGGAATCATCTATTTCCGCAAAGTGGCTGCCATTGGGCTGATATCTCAAAATACTCCTCCCATCCCCTTGAGGACCCCAGGCCCTGGACAAAGGGTGGGCAGGAATCCAGGGGGTTGGAATAACCTTTAAACCTCCTAGGCGACTCAGCCCTCCTTGGGGTGTGGGGGGAATCTCCGGGCACAGCTCTTCTTCTCCTTTTCATCTTTATTTTTCTCCTGCTCCTTCTTCCCCTTGCTACGTGGGCTGATCGCTGCTCAAACTTTTAATTCAGATGGTAATTGAAATAATAATATGGGCTGAGGCCCCTCTGCTTGTGACGCTGCAGCTGGTGGAGCTC